GACTCTGGTCCTATTTCGTTGGTCTTCGGGATTGGAGTAATGATTAATAGAGACGGTTGGGGGCATTCGTATTCCATTGTCAGAGGTGAAATTCTTGGATTTATGGATGACGAACTTCTGCGAAAGCATTTGCCAAGGACGTTCTCATTAATAAAGAACGAAAGTTGGGGGTTGAAGATGATCAGATACTGTCCTAGTCTCAACCATAAACGATGCCGACTAGGGATTGGCGGATGTCTATTGGATGACTCTGCCAGCACTTTGTGAGAAATCAAAGTTTACGGGTTCCGGGCGGAGTATGGTCGCAAGGCTGAAACTTAAAGGTATTGACGGAAGGGCACCACCAGGCGTGGAGCCTGCGGCTTAATTTGACTCAACACGGGGAAACTCACCAGGTCCAGACATAGCAAGGATTGACAGATTGAGAGCTCTTTCTTGATTCTATGGGTGGTGGTGCATGGCTGTTCTTAGTAAGTGGAGTGATTTGTCTGGTTAATTCCGTTAACGAACGAGACCTTAAATAGCTACGCGGGGACCTTTCCTCGTGGCAAGCTTCTTAGAGGGACTGTTGGACGACTAGCCAATGGAAGTTTGAGGCAATAACAGGGCTGTGATGCCCTTAGATGTTYTGGGCCGCACGCGCGCTACACTGATGAATCCAACGAGTCGCTTGCCTGGGTCGAAAGGCCCGGGTAACCTTCTTAAGGTTCATCGTGACGGGGATAGATTGTTGTAATTATCGATCTTGAACGAGGAATGCCTAGTAAGCGCGAGTCATCAGCTCGCGCTGATTACGTCCCTACCCTTTGTACACACCGCCGGTCGCTCTTACTGATTGAATGGTTCGGTGAAGTATCGGGATTGCGGTGATCTCGGCGGTTTGCCGCTGGGGGTGCTGTGAGAAGTTCATTSAACCTTATCATTTAGAGGAAGGAGAAGTCGTAACTAAGGTTTCCGTAGGTGAACCTGCGGAAGGATCATTGACACGTGAATGGCCGATCTTCGGGGTGTGGGACGCTGGCTTGCTCGCCCTTCCGCCGCCCTTTGCCACCATCCTCCCTACATCCGCTTTTCTCTTCCGTTTCAGCACCGTCTTGGGCTTAGTGCCCAGCTGGCGGCTGGCCCGCCTCAGAGGGGCGCGTTGTGTAGGTCGAGGGTGGGGGGAGTGGGCAGGGTCCGGGGCCTTGTGGCGTTGCTCCCCCTTCATCCCGTCTCGCCTCCGCAGGTTGTTACCTCGGCCCAGCCCCACTCTCGACTTCTTGGTCCGGGCACAGACAGCCCTGCGGGAGGGTCAGGGGCAGGATGTCGGGTTGTGGCGGCTGTCCTCGGCCTGCGTACCCCCGCTCCTTCCCGTCTCAGCTTTGTCCGGACCTCCTTTCCATCCCGGCCTCGACCTCGGCTTCGTGCGGAGCTTGTGGCCTGTTTGGGGATCGAGGGTCGTGGTACAGGCTAGGGGCGGGGTGTGTTGCGGGGTCCTCGGCCCCTCCCAGTTTCGTCCTGCCTTCCTTCCCAACGGGGTTTTCCTTTCCGGACAGATCGTCGTCCTCGACACAGTCGAGGTGGTCTGAATC